AAGAAAAACACCAAAAAAAAGGAAAGGACAAACCTGCGACCAGATATATGGCCGCCAAGGTGTGACCAGATATATGGCTGCCAAGGTCTGATCACATGGACTGCTGGAAAAAAGGGCCAAAAGAGATGTCCCCTGTACACGAGTCAATTGTCAACAGCCGCAGCAACAACCAAGTTTCCAATTTCAATTGCAACAGGTGTTTGCAGGTGCGTAGCAGGATGAGTTTCAAATGCAGTCTAGTCACTTACATTTTGGAAGAATGCAATGCCAGGTGTGGCTGAGACATCTTGGCCCCGGCCCAGGCACGAGGGGGCAGGACAGGGCTGAATCTGGCCAAAATCATGGCCAGGTTCAAGGGCACCCGTGGCCCTCTTCACGTGCCGTGGAGAAAACTTCAGCCGTCAATCTATCTATCAGATCGAGCGGACAATTTTTTTCACGCGGCAAGTAAAGAGGGTCAGAGCTTGCACACAAAGGTCTTGGCCCGTTTACTTGTGGCACGAAAAATTTGATCCGTCGGATCTGATAGATCAACGGCTGAAATTTTCTCTGTAGCAAGTGAAGACCCAGGGCCTACAAGGCCCTGGACGATGTGGCCACTGACAAAATTATACAGAAATGTATGGGACTAGACTGCAACTAAAACCCAACCACCTACTAGACTGCAAAACCCTGTTTCGTTTGCAACGGTTCGGAAAAGGCTGTCTATTTTTTTTTTTTTTTTTTGGGGCGACCGACTGTGAGGCAAAGGTGAACAAAAATCTTCACTAAATGTCGTTCTACAAGCTCCTTGATAGGGGCTCGGCAGAGAATGAGTCTCGGGTGTAACCTTCTTCGGTAAGCTTTTCCGTGTGCTTCACGCCTAACCCAAGAGACTTGATTTTGTGCCTTCCATTTCACGGCATGAATTTGGGTACTTTTCAATATTCAACAGTCAATTGTTTGACCGAATAAAGTAGGCAATGTGGTAAAAAAGAAGAAACTAGTTTCTCAAGAGTCTGTAGATCTCAAGCCAAGAGTTGAACAAGAATGAATACCACATATAAGAGGAAAAACTAGACTTCTTTAGTCAAACAATTGACTGTGCAGCAACCGGTGTTCAGCCACGAAATTGCATTGGCTATTCCGAGTCTGATATTTCCAACTATTAGCGTAGTATTACTGTTTTTACCTGCAGACACCCGAAAGTATGCTGTTTTGAAGTGTTTTCTTGCAAAGGACCATCTTGCTCTCCAACGGTTTCGTTTTTTCCACCCCCTTTTCTAGTACTGTCAGCCTAGTGTATTTAAATTTTAAACAGATTCATTGCACAGGTATTCCATTTTGCCAGCTGATCTGCAGCCCGAGAAGTAAGGAGCGATCCCCCCCAGGAGTAGGAACACCAACGGGTGTGGCTCGGCTGGCACACCTACAAACTGTTGAAATACAGTTTCTTTTGCCTTTTTTCTGAATTATTTGATTGTTTTGACATTCAGCTTACTACGAATTTGACAGGACATACCTATGATAGTAACCACATCTGCGAGCATGTGATGTTTCAAGATAAAATCAAGCCCTTGTAATTGAGCAAAACCGGGTGATCGAATCTTACAACGGTAAGGACGATTGGTTCTGTTGCTAACTAAATATACACCAAATTTTTCTTTCAGTGCTTCTACACAGGTGTACGTAGAAGAAAAATAAAATAAATAAATAAGCTAGAGTGGAATTTGCGCCCTTATTTAACTCATGCTGACCCGGATGCATTATTTCTTATTTATAAGTTCACTGAGAATGAGTTGAGTCAATTCTCATATATGAATCATCCTTCGACCTTAAATGTCAAATAAGAGAGGCCTCTGCTTCCCGTTGCAGACACGAAGTGCTATTGTTTGCCATTGATCTTCAGGGTCAGTAGCGAAACGTTCTGTAAGTGGAAGAAGGCTGTTTGTGAAAACAGCTGGAGGAGATATCAGAAGTGAGAATGCTGACATGAGTAACAAAAAATCAGGTGACAAAAATGATCACCGAAAGTTCATGGGTTTCTGCGTTCAGTCAATCTACGCAGACTCGCAGAGTGAATCGGTCCCTAAGGAAACCCCGAAAGGTGGCGCCCACGGGCACTAGAAAGTAACAAAATTTGAATTTAGCTAGCGCTACTCTTGATGAGACCCACTTTTGAGCTTCTTAAAATCTCAGATCATTCATCCAAAGTTACAACTAGGCTTTTCTCAAAGTTTCCCAGGAGGAATACCAAAAGAGCTAGGTATGTAAGGTCACATCTGGCACCCAGTTCTGGGTGAAGAGGCTCATAGTTGAATTTTGGCAGCAAGATTCTTTATTGTAAAAGGGGCGCTGAACCCGTTTTCCAGCAGGTGCAGCTCCCCACCAATAGATGGAGTGACCTAGGTAGACCATAGTAGGGAGGGCTGCTCGTACCACCCTGCCTACTATGATCTATTGAGTCTTAAAAAAAAAAATAAAAAAAAAAAAAATAAAAAAAAATCGGATGATTGGACAGGGCCTCAATTTCCTGGAAAAAAAACTTATAGAATCAATTGTAGATTGAACCGTACCCCAAACCTACACAGGTGAACAAGTAGAGTATACTACGACGCTTCAGATAACCATGTTGAAGGAACTCGACAAAATGACATGGCGTGCGTTTTACTTACTTTTTGAAATGAAAATCATTGGACAAAATATACAGGGCTATCACCTTCTCTGGCAAGACTTTCCAATCTTTTCTAATTTGCTTGGATGGTATTAGAGCCTTATCCGCGTTCGCTCGCCACTACTAACGGAGCCTCGGTTGATGTGCTTTCCTTTAGCTATTTAGATGTTTCAGTTCGCTAAGTCAACTTCGTTGCGGTTTCCCGATAGGAAATCCATGGATCAAAGAGAGCTTCTTCCCATGGCGTTTCGCCTTTCACTGCGTCCTTTCTTTCTCAATGCGAAGGCATCCACCCAATGCATTGTTTTGGATATAGCAGGGCCCTTCGCTACTTCTCACTTTTGTTTTATATCATATCATAGACTGATAGAGTCTAAAGCGGCATGCCCGTTAGTCAGGGCGTGCCGTATGTCGGTCGCCTAGCAGGATTTTGCAGCAAATTTTCTCTCTTTTTTGCTGCTCTAGGTTGCGGCCTGATTTCAAATCCAGATGGAACTGGGTGAATGAAATCACATAACTCCGAATTACCTGTGGCCGATCAATTAAAAAATGATATCTCAAGACCCGTTCCCCCCCCATCCCCCCCCCTTGCCCCGAGCCATTCCTGTGACCAAATGTCTTCATCCCATTTGGGTCAGCAACCTCGAGCATCTCCTTGTGTACTACCATCTTTCACCCGAATAGAATGCCTGGTCTTTATAGCCATGGCTGGGGCAACTTTCAGCCTAGATACAGCCATATTGACGGAGCGTTCTAGTCAGGTAAAGACAGTAGCAGCTCTCAGTGGATGTCTGAGGAGGAGACCACACAATGAAGTAGCTAAGAGCCTGTGTCTCACCTGATTATCCCACCTGCAAGGAAAATGAGCGAGAGCGATAGACAGAAAACCCCTGGCCGGGGCGCTCACTTTCCTTTATGGGAAGTGAGCCCTGCCTCTGGCTGGGCTGGGCCTTGCATGCAGGGGCCCAGTAGCTTCGCGTTGGGCTGAAGTGTCTGCACCCTGGCCCATTTAGACAGTTGCCTGATCCTGCCGCATTGAGGCTGCTCCAACTGTGCAACGTGGCTGCTGCATTCTCATTGGCCTTCGGGCGTCCAGCCACGTCGTTACTTGTTTCTCATTGGGCGGAGAGGCCAGCTTCTACATCTGACCTGGAAGATCCTAGAATGGAAATTTCAGATGCTGGCGAACAGGGCGTAGATAACCAACTGGCGCGTGGTAACTGTCTGGCGCCCAATAATGCAGAAATGGCAAAAGGGGGGGGCCCTTGCCGAATTCAGGCCCGCCTTCACTTAGGGCAGGCACCGTACTTGCTGGGGGCTCCTTAGACAGTGGCAGGCCACGGTCAAGCGGACTATGTTAGGGCTCATTCCTTGCACACCCATTGTCTGTGCCATGTTTTGTACCAGCTTGCGGCAATTTCAGCCTCCTCCAAAGCACTGAAGGTCAGCCTGGGACATCCTGGTGAGGGTGGGAAACTGTCCCGGGCTGACGGTGGGAAAACGATCCTTAAAATAATGAAACGATTTTAACAAAAGAACTTTGATATTAAAATGACGTACATGATTACTTTTAAACCAACTAACACACATACCTCAAGCTTGATTCTGTCAGCCCTTCGAGCATTCTTCCTTCTGAGCGTTGCTCTTTCTTGTGCATCCTTCTCCATTTCCGCCATAAAAGCTTTAGCTTCAGGGGTGAGTGATTCGTCTGACGGTGGCTGGAGTCGTTGGAGGACAAACCCACACAGACACAAAACCACTGGCAGTCTTAAATCAATCATGCTGTACGAATCCAATGGGGTTGTGCGTCTGTGTGGGGTTGTGCAGGCTCCTTTTCTTTTCCAGCTCAATGACTAAGAGCATAATCACACTCGACAACCACATTCAATGCACCTTTTCTTTTCCAGATCAATGACTAAGCGCATCATCACACTTGTACTCTGAGACTCTGAAGAGTCTGAACCTTTTCTGTGATGGACGCAACTGCGGGACTGCTCAAACATGCTTTTCAAAATACGAATGCAACTTCCTTTTTTTATTCCCTCTTTTTTTGAAGAACTGCCATGGGGTTGTGCAGGCTCCAGTCTATAGGCGGGGAGCTTCACTTGCTGGAAACCGGGTCCAGCACCCCTTCTCTACCTTACCCCTGTTTTTTCGATCTTAATGCATGCAAGTGGTGATACGAGCAACCTCTTGTAGCAGTTGCCCCTTCATTGTGCAGACTCCGGTCTATGGAAGGGGAGCTTCACCTGCTGAACAGGGTCCAGCACCCCTTCTCCCCCTTACGCCTGCTTTTTCGACCCCAATGCATCTTCCTACTATTCTTTCCCCAGCTTACCACAATGACATGTGGTTAACGGAGGGCCGGAAATTCCCCCCCCCCCCCTCCCGGTTAACCATGTGTGCTTTAGCCTGGCATCTCTTATATGGTAATAATTCTCTTAAACCACCAGTACTCCAGCAGGTGACGATGCCCTCTGCCGAGAGATTGGAATTCTAATAAAGAAACGGATCACATTGCTATTGTGCACCTGGACTGTGGCTGAAATAGTAGGGCAATTGCACAACGTGGTGATTGCTGAGTAGCTTCAGGGATTTTTTGTTTGTTTGTTAATTTGTGCGAGGCGCAAGGCCTCTGTAAGCCCTACTGGGCCCTTTTTGCAGCAGCGTCGGCCGCCCTAAGTGAAGGCAGGCTCGACACACGACAAGAGGCCTATTTTGGACTACCACGCAACTGGGGAAAATTCAGGCAGTTGCGCAGCGTCAATTGGTTGAAAGCGCCCAGGCCCAGGCTGCCTTTATCGTATGAAGCTGAGGCAGCCCCTGGGCCAGATATGCAACATGGACCGAACACAGGCTGCAGGCAGTTGGGCCCGGGTAACCGCCACAGGCCCTGGGACTGATTCCTTTCGACTGAGGCCCAGCCTCTCGGGGCCTACTGGAAGCTTCCGGGCCGGGACCCAGTGCAGCCAGGCCGCACACAGCAGGCAGTCACTTCCATTTAGGAAAGGGCCCGCCTCCGCATTCGGCATTCGGGCACTGGCCGCATGCTGCGCAAGCGCTGCTGAGCTACTCGCTGGCCAGGCCCACGCGCTCACGGGCGAGCACGGAGACCAGGCAGCCATAGCCGAGCTGCACTGCATAGCTGGATGGGGCGCATGGTGGTCCTTGGGTGCACGTGGCATCTGTGAGTGGGGGATCGAGGTTGTGAGTGATACGAGAGACATACCTGGTGCTTGAGGCGAACGACATTGGTCGAGATCTGCTCGTACTTTGGGGAGCTGTTGACGTCACCAGCGGCATTGTAGATAGGCTAGATAGGATCTGCCACTTGTAGTCTGGGCGCAGAGCGCCAGATAAGATGTCGACATTGGTTCTTTGAAGATGATGATGAGACTATTCGAACATTGTCACTTATGAGCTTTTGCTGTGCTCTTATTTGGTGAGACTCGTGATGCAATTCTGCTTTTGGTTCGAGGTCATAACTATCTGGTCTCATGCGGATGATGCTGCTTGGTTTCTTTTTTTTTTTTTTTTTTTTTTTTTTTTTTTGAAAGGTCCCTGCGCAAAACCTCTATCCTGGTGGTGGTAGGAGAACCACCGGGATTGAGGCTTGCCTGGCGGGCCGCTCCATCTATTGGTGGGGAGCTTCACCTGCTGGAAACCGGGTCCAGCGTCCCATGAATGTGTCCTTACATCCATAACAGATAGTAACTGTGACACCTATTGTGCTGGAAACCGGGTCCAGCGTCCCATATCCTTGCTTGTTTGAAGTTCGCTATCGCTCATTTTCCTTGCATTTGGACCATTTCTCGATTTATGTGTGTCATCCTTGCAGAGGGGCCATGCTAATCTTCTCTGTATCATTCCAATTCTAACAGATGTCCCAAGGGGTGCGGGGCTTGAGTATTGGATATGAAGACTGTGTGTGCAGGGACAGGGCTGTCCCTGTTATTGGCAACTCTGTTGATGTAACTTGCCTTGGGCAATGGGCCCTGTTAATAAAAGTTACAATTTTGGGGTAAAAAAAAAAAAAGAAAAAGAAAAAAAAAAGGATGGCCTCAGTTTTTTTTTTTTTTTTTAAACAGGCCCATATGGTCCTGGCTCCATTTCCATTCTGGGGAGCATCAGTCCGGTTCCTATTCCACCGGCAAGTCAGAATAACAGGATACATCATAAGTACTCACCCACGCTTCCTTCCATCCGGCCAAAGGACCCCTGACCAGCATTGATTGCTCCAACATCGTGGAGGATTGACTGTCAGCTTGCCCTGCTTCATCCTTTCCTCTCAGGTCTACTGCGAAAACCTGTCGTATAAAGCATGACTAGCGAGAAAGGTCCTAGAAGCTGCCAAAGCTGCCAATTTTGTCTAAACTGTAAATCCCCCATGTGAGCCACATGAAAACTCTGCTATTCTGAACCCTGTTTGCCCTGACCTGTCCAAACCCTAAACCCTCAACCCTCAACTATAGTTTTTTTTCCAGAAACATAAACTCCAAATCTTTTCCAAGCATTTCTTGAAGTCCCCTGAAGCAACTTAGCCTGTCAGCTCACGGTGCCTGTGTTGGGCCTTGGTCGCTTGGTATCTAAAACACCTGTCTTCTCTCCTCTGTTTCCGAATTGTGCCTGTCTCTCCATTGATTGCAGAAATCCTCCAGCCCTGCCACATTACCCACAGCAGTCTCTGCTTTACTAGTCTTTTTTGTTCGTCGATTTATTCCCAGTTTTTGAATTGGATTGTGCCCTTCTCTATCTCCGCGACTCTATTCTTGCTAAGCCAGATTCTTTCGAAATCCCTCTGGCTCCTTTCGTTTTTCTGCCTCATGCAGATTTTTTTTTTTTTTTTTTTTTTTTTACCTCAAACCCTTATTCCTCTGGCCTTCACTTTCTCACCCACCCTCCTATCCCTATGGTAGTCCTAGTTCCTGTGTCACCCGCTGGGCCCCCAAGGACACGTCACGACGCTCCTCCGTAAACCAATGAAAGATCAGTCTCTGTCCCTCTATGGTCGCTACTTTGCCTCGGGTCAATACCTTATTCTGAAATTTCATGAAGATATCCTTCGCCCTTTCAGGGTTGACTGATGCTTGCATTTTGGTCCTCTGCCATTGAGCCCTAATGTCTGTTTCCAATAGATTGTAGAGTGTTGTTCTAGCTTCCATTCTGGTCAACGAATTTTTACCTACCACCAGTTGACATCTCCTTTTCCAGATAGTCCATAGTGCGTACYGTCTCAATAGCTGGAAGATGCATTTCTCACTTGCCCGCCATCCCTTGGGTACTTCCCTTCCTATGAGCAAAAGCCTTCTGTTTCTTGGAAAGAGAACCTTCGTAGTACGCTCCCAAAGTATACCAGCTATTGCCCAGATGTACTCTGCTTCCTGGCATCGAAGTAAGCAATGCACCAGTGTTTCGGGCACTCCCTCAGTGCACATGGTGCAGTCTTGCTCTGTCTCATCCCTATGCTGCCTACTCCTTTTTTCATATAACCAGGTGTTGACTGGGAGTGCCACATGGAATATGAGCCACTGCATACTCCGGATCTTACTCAACCTGATGCTGTGTAGGCTTGACCATGGTAGTTTGCCTACCTGTTCTCTTGGTATGCCCACCCTCTTTTCCCATCTTATCGCCAAAGGCCTATCCATCTGGTTCGACCTTTTCCTGAGCCGATAACCCCATTTAGTCGTATACTGAAGTATGTTAATTTTCTTGACTACTTGTGACGAGCTTCCCCTGATGTTCCACGCCCATTCTACTGGATCAATCTCTAGATTTTGAATGCTGATTGTTGGAGCATACATTGTGAACTCATCATTCTCTATATGCTTCCAACCACTGTTTAGCTGGTCGTACCTCCTGACCAATGCGAAAGGCTTGCTGTGACTCCTCACTATGACACCAAGTTGCCCAGTCACCCCATCCCCATTTGCATGGACCCCTCAACATCCGCGTCCACTCCTCCGGAATGGAGATTAGCATGTCGTTCAGATTTTCAATTAGTCTGTGACACCCCTTCATTTCTTCCCTCAGTTCTCTACCTGTTTTCCATCTGCCATTGGTTTCTGACCATAGATGTTCCACTTGCCACACTCCATGCTCCAACCAATTTCCCCACTTGGCATCCCTTGCTGTTAGTGTCCTGGGTTTTCCTTGGGAGTCCTTCAACCATGGATTACAAAATAGCGGTTGCTTTGTCTTACTCTTGCCGAAAAGATTTCTGCCCATATCTTAAAAATTTGGGCCCAATATGAACTCCTGGTCGTTCCCTCTTCTCCCCCCTGTATTCCTACTCTTCCCCTCTTGACCCATCCTTTACAAAAGAACCAGAAAATTCCCCCCAAATTGGGTGGAGTTTTATACCTGGCCATCCCTCGTATATGATCTAATACCAACGGGACCCAGCGAAGATGGGGTTGTGTCACCAACTTGATAACCCATTTAGTTTGGAGTGCTTTGATCTGCTGTCCCGGGTCTAGGATGCCCAAGCCTCCCTGATCCTTTAACTGAATAACCTGTCTCCACGCTACCTTGGAAATATAATTCGTCAGGTAGGGTTCGTTGTCCACAGGTAGGCTGCCGCCACCCTCATGAGCTTGTTGAGGGAGTGTGAGGGAGGTGTCCATATTGTTCCTACGTACCATAACATGGAGAAGATCGAAGCATTTAATACTAGTGCCCTCCCAAAAAGTGAAGTATAAATTTCTGACGATGCTGACAACTTGGCTAACATTTTTATTATCTGCTCTTGTGTCATCGAGTGATGAGGATCTGTATCTGCTAGCCTGATCCCCAAATATCTCAGTGGCTGATCCGATGATACCCATGTCATTCCCCCATAATACTGTGGATGGGCTTGAGTTTGTTGGTCAACATCTAAAAGCCACCAACCCACAGTTTTAGGCCAATTAATTTTCACCTCCGAAGTCAGCTGGAAAGCGGCCATCGCTCTCGTGAGGGCTTGAAAAGAGGAATCTGTAGCCCTAATTAGGACCGTCAAGTCGTCTGCAAATTGGATCGTTGTAGGTTATATGACACTTCCCTGCTGATCCGGTTCCATTATCAGTCGATCAATCGATGGGTCTTTCCCGAGAAACGAGGCAACGAGCTCCATTATAAATAGGAAAATAGGGGCCGCCAGCGGGTCCCCTTGTCTGACCGACCTACTCATTTTATATCTCCCTGATAAATGACCATTACCTTGTACCTGACCATGTGTGTCGTTGTACAATACCCGAATCCATTTGTGGAAGTTAGGCCCCACTCCCATCTTCTCCATGCATTATTGCAGAAAGTTCCAGTTAACTTGATCGTATGCGTTCTCAAAATAAAAAAAGAGATTTGTTGCATTGATCCTCTTGTCAGTAATATACCTGACCGATTCTGATAAGGTAATTACATTATCCAATATAAATCTCCCTGGGATAAAACCCGTTTGATCTAGGTGGAAACCTCTGTCTGTAACCCTTCTCAATCGATTAGCTAGGGCTTTAGCTACTATCTTGTGGGTAAGAGTCAGAAGTGTAATAGGTCTATAATTTCTGATATCCTTAGGATCATCCTTTTTATATTGAAGAGTAACGACTCCTGTCGTCGATAACACCCTAGACCTTCTTTTCGCCATGCGTGATTGAGGAAGGTTTCGTATTGCCCTCCCAAGATGGGCCAAAACTCGAACCAGAATTCCTTTGTAAGTCCGTCCCTACCTGGAGTCTTGCTAGGAGGCATAGACTGCAGGGCTTCCCTCAATTCTTCTTGGGACAATGGAGCCTCTAACATTTGTACTTGCTCTCCCTTTATTGTACAATCCAGGTATGTCAGAAATTATTTATGACTTCTTTCAATTGGTGCGGCTCATGATCCCCTTCCCTTGAAGTGTATAATGCACTATAAAAGTTATCGGCTACTGACAGCACCCCCTCTGGGTCTGACACCAAACCTTGCGGTCCCTGCATCTACTCTATTAATGTGTTTCTTCCCCTTGTTTTCATCTTTTGGAAGAAGTACTTCATCATTTTTTCTCCCTCATCCCATTCCCTCACGCGCGCTCTCATCCGCAATCCCTTAGCCCTCCAACGCTCCCAGTCCCCCAATTCCCTTCTTGCTGATTCTATTATTCTCTCATACATTTCTATCCCTGGGTTATTGATTAGATTCCTTTCTGCTACACATAACACCCTTTGTAGTTTTATTTCTCTTGCCGCCGTCTGGCTGCTAATTGTCTGGCTACCGCCGATGTTGCTCCTGACAAAGCTTCTATTAGGTCGTCAAACGTTTGTGTTTCAGAATTATGTGTTAGGCATACTTGCAATATAGCCTCCCTCAATTCTTGGGTTTTTAAAATTTTAATAGTGAATTATTAACCTTATAAAAACTCCTTCCCCTATGGATATGCTTATCCATGACCAAATTGAGAAAGATAGGCTTATGATCCAGACAACTGCAATATGGTAAGTAGGCTTATGATCCAAACAACTACAATATGGTAAGTCCCCAATCCCTACTGAATGCGCTGCTCCTATCATAACCTGGGATATGAGAAAGTAATCTATCCTAGATGCCGACATATGCTGACTACGATTCCTTCTATAGAAGGTAAACTGCTTTTGCTCTGGTTGTTGCAGTCTAAATGGATCAATAAGGTCTTTGGATGCCATAAGATTGTGGATAGGTAGGGCCTCATCCCATATAAATCCCTCTCCCAATCCTGACCTCCCCCCAAACAATCTATCCTTACTCGGTTCTAGAGTAGCGTTCCAATCCCGTACAGGATGAGATGCCTTGACGAATCTATGTGGGTCTGTAATAGATTTATCATATCCGACCTAGGTTGTCATGAGTTGGGACAATAGACTGTGAATAATGCAAACTGCTCATCCTGATATGTGAAATTTAATTTTATCCAACGTCCTTCTCCCTCATCCACTCTCACATCTTGCATTATTATTCTATTTGCCGCCATAGACCTTTTATTCTGTAGTATAACCACTCCTGATGAACGCGGTCTGCCCGCTGGTGCCCAAAAGCTTGTTTTAACCCACCTTAACTGCTCTAGTATGCGTTGCTGAATTTGCTGATGAGCCAAAGAATCCGTGAGATGGGTTTCCTGTATGCATAGGAAATCCGGGGGATTCCTCCCATACCAATCGGAGTACTTCATTACGTTGTCCTATTTGTCCCTGTTTTCTAATATTTGTACCATCCCATTGATGTTCCAACTTCCAAGACATCACTCTGAGATTTGGTTGTCTACCCCTTGAAGTACCAACTGTCCTTCTCCTCCTATCTATCCCCTCTCCTAGTGCCCCCTCCATAAGCTACGACCCCTATTTCTGCCTCATGAGTAACTGTGACCTCGAGATCCTGCCTGGCACAAGTCTATCGTCGTGGCCAAGGGTGCAATCTTGCTGTCTATGTAATCCGACTACCACGAAAACACATCACTTTTGGTGACTATGGCTGCCCCTCTTGCCACCCATTATGCCGCCTCTGATCCCCCTAGGAGACCATACGGTATCGTCTCCACCACCTGCCAAGGCATCCAGATCAAGCCCTCCACCAATCTTGCCTTCTCCTGCAGTTTGATCATGATAGGCCTGTAGTCTACCATATGCGCACTACCACCCGATTCCCCTCATTCCTCTCGGTCCTGCTTGAGGACCCCTACAACATGTGCCTGTGTGGGGAGATCCTTCGTTATCAGCTCTTTGAGGATATCCTGCGAACAACAACTGTCTTTTGTTGTGACCAATGCTAGAGACCTTTGGATAGCCACTTCCCAATCAGAGTTGCCACTGTTCCAGCGGTAAGGGAGGATAATTCTCCTGCCCGGATTATGCCTCGCATAAAGCTTGGCCGCTGCATTAATGTCCGTGTGTGGTGCGTAGGCAATCTTCTACAGCTTCATGGTATCTTCCTCCAATTCCCTATTCTGGTCCTTAAGAACGTTGATTTGCGCCTCCAACTGCTTATCACCAAAGATGACTGCAAGGAACGACAGGGCAAGCAGACGAGCAGCTCGACAACCATGCAGTGAAGCGCAAGGCACTGCCAACAAGGCGACCAGACTACAAGGCACACAAGCAAGTAAAGGACGCGGAAAGCCAACAGGGCAAGCGGTCGAGCAGCTCGGCAACTGTGCAGTGAAGCACAAGGCACCACCAACAAGGCAACCAAACTACAAGGCATGCAAGCAAAGGACACTGAAGGCCGACAGAGCAAGCGGACGAGCAGCTCAGCAACCATGCAGTGAAGCGCATGGCGACACCACAAGGCAACCAGACCACAAGGCACTCGAGCAAAAGACAGGGGAGGCACGGCCCGCGGAAGGGCTGCAAGGCAGCAGAGCAGCGAGGAAGACCTGCGAAGCAGCACATGCCCTACTCACATCACAAATTAACCCCACAGGCCGTTGGTTCCCACCACCCGCTGAGCCAGGGAATCAGCCAGACGAACATCCGTCATCACCCATAGAAGACACAGGCATCCCGAACTGAGCAGCCCCCCTAAGAGTGCTGTAGGTACTCCAAACAAGGAACCACCGACTGGTTGGCACAGCTTAAGGGTGCTCAGCTAGGGAGTCGTAGGAACACAAAATGCACTTCGAAAAAAAGAAAAAGGCATACAAAGGAAGGGGGGGGGGGAGAGAGAGAGAGAGAGAGAGAGAGAGAGAGAGAGAGAGAGAGAGAGAGAGAGAGAGAGAGAGAGAGCACTGAACCTGATTGTTGGCTTGGTTTTCTTGTTCTTCCAGTTGAAGGTCATAGGTGACGTTCTTCTGCCATTGGTTCCATGCACTGTAGTTCGTTGCCGACCCGGTCCTTTTCGGACATTGAGCAGGATGGTACACCTGTACGAGACTTCAGGAGGCCATCAAGTGACACAGGCAGTGATTGGGCATTAGTCCAGCTATGAGGTGAGTACAGGGGTGATGTGAGTCTTGTAACACACACGTACGCATAGTCGTATTTGCAAATAGAATTTGAAAGATTCAAGACATTACACGCTTCGACTTCCACCTTCTGGGCACAACCCCAACGGTCCACCGCTCTAACCTCTGCCGTCAAGCCCATGCAGTGACAAGTTAGAATTTACCGCAGCCGCACCACCAAAACAGTTCTCAGTAACTCACATCATCATGTCAAAAAGGGCCGACATAGTCCAGCTATGCACCAATAATACGGCCGGGTTTTTACACGGTCGCCAGGCCCAGGCTGCCTGGACAGGCAAGCACTTTCCGTAAAGGAAAGTGCCCACCTGCCTCTCATTCATTTGGGCACTTTGTGCAATGTGGCAGCGCTGCCATTCTGAGTGCTGGTCGGCCGCTAGAGACGAAGGCCTGCATGCGGGCGGGCGCAGGGGAAGAGTGGTGCTGCCTGGAGCAGCGCAGAGCCCAGTCAAACATAGTTGGGCTGGGGCTCGAGGTTGTCAGCAGGGTATGGTGGTGGTCCTTGGGTGGAGGACGTAGTGTGGGGTGATGACGAGGGTGAGCAGAGAGAGGGCGAGAGAGAGGGCACGTACCTTGTTCATCGTGGAGGTCTGCACGGGAGGCATCTGGACGTACTTTGGTTTCTGCTGCCGAAGTCTTCTGGTTGCGGCATTGTACTCTGGGCTAATATAGGAGCTGTGTGATTGTAGTCATGGCGCTGAGCGCCGATAGGGAGAAGAGACACCGAATATATTGTTGATGGTGGTGAGTGCACTGACAATCGAGTTCGTTGCTTTGGTCTCCTTCGGTGTGATACTGGTGCCTTCTGCTTTCTCGACAGCTCACAACTCTCTGGCTTTTAATGTGATGTTGCAATTTGGAATTCTGTCATTTCATTCTTGCTCATTTACCTTGCCGTTTGGAGCTGGTTTGTGTATCCAACTGCAATCACGGCCAAAGCTTGTTTTGTTTTTTGGGCCTTTTTTTTTTTTTGTTCTTTTTTTGTGATTCTGACAGTCGTGCTCCCCGTGTTCCTCATTCTGCTGAAGTGCCCTCACTGAGGGCAGTACTCCAAAAAGTGTATGCAACTGCAATCACGACCAAAGCTTGTTTTTTTTTTTGGTTTTTTTTCCATTTTTTTTTTTTTTTTTTTTTTATCAGTCAATCAATCAATCAAGGATTCAATCAATCAACAAGCAATCAATCAATCAACAATCAATCAATCAATCAATCAATCAATCAATCAATCAATCAAACAATCAATTTTTATTTCTTTGTTTTGTTTTGTTTTTCCTGTTTTATTTTTATTTTTAAAAAGACCAAAATATGAAATAAAAAATATGGGGGTGTAGAACACGAAAAACTCTTTCGTNTTTTTTTTTTTGTGATTCTGACAGTCATGCTCCCCGTGTTCCTCGTTCTGCCGAAGTGCCCTCACTGAGGACAGTACTCCAAAAAGTGTATGCAACCGCAATCACGACCAAAGCTTGTTTTGTTTTTTGGGTTTTTATTTTATTTTATTTTTTTTGTGATTCTGACAGTCGTGCTCCCCGTGTTCCTCGTTCTGCCGAAGTGCCCTCACTGAGGGCGGTACTCCAAAAAATGTATCCAACTGCAATTACGGCCAACGCTTATTTTGTTTTTTGGGACGTAAAGATTTGACATGGGCCCAAAATTTTGAAAACCTTCTGATGCTCCGACCCTACCCCGAGCCAGCCTTTTGCTTCTTGTGGCGACAAGCTATTTTGCTGCAAGGCTGAGGCTGTGTTCTGGTGGTTTAAGAACGATAGTACTATAGCTTCCCCATCGACTGACCTCACTCGCCTTGACACCCTATGGGAGTAGCCAGACGAATGTGAGAGAGCCTTCAAATAAGTGAAGTATGCTCTCACGCATCATGAGGTCATGAAACTTCCCAGTCTTGCAAAGCCATTCATTGTGACACAGATGTCAGCCAGTATGGCATTGGCGCGGTCCTTGCACAACATCAGGGGAAGAAGTTGAGGCCGATCGAGTACATAAGCAAAAAGATGCCATCCCAGAAACTAGCCAAGTCCACCTATGAGCACAAGCTCTATGCCCTATACAAGGCGTTGACTCACTGGAGGCACTACCTCCTGACATATTTTTCTATGTGAGATCTGACCATGAGACTCTTCGTTGGATTAAGAGGCAACCTGCCCTCTCCGATGCACTTAAGAGATGGATTGAAGTCATAGACATGTATGACTTCAAGTGAGACCACCTGAAGGGAGAGTACAATAAGGTAGTGGACAGACTATCACAAAGGGCAAGCTAGTGACCGAGCTTGGTATTTCAGATGACGTATCTTGATTCATGGTGGAAGCATACGGAGTGGACTCTGTGTTGTCGAAAAGCATGCGCAAACTTGATGCCAAGGAAAAGTCCACATCCTACGAGTTTGTGCTGGTTGAAGGCTTATTGTTTCTCGAGAAGGCAAGGAATAAGACACTACTTGTACCATCTAGTGAGTCTTTGCTTAGTTTGTTCCTAGGAGAGTGTCATGACGCAACCGGTCACTTTGGTTTCAAGAAGACTTCAGCTAATCTAGTGCAACACTTTTGGTGGCCCTAGATGCCAAGAAGTACGTAGAAACATGCCAGCTTTGTCAGCGCGATAAACCAAGGACACAAACACCTCTTGGGTTTGTCAAGCCCTTGCCTATTCCTGCTGGCCCTGGGCAAAGTGTGTCCGTGGATTTCATGGATACCCTCTTGACTAGCAAGAATGGCAAGCAACACATCTTTGTCATCGTGGATAGATTTAGTAAAATACACTAGATTGATCGCTATGCGAGAGACCGCCAAGACTGACCAGGTTATCAAGTTGTTCATGGACAACTGGGTACGGGATTTTGGACTTCCAAAGTCTATTGTTAGTGATACAGACGTCCGCTTCATGAATGAAATGTGGCAGAATGCGGCCAAGGGCACACAACTGCAGATGACGTCTGGAACCTATCCTGAGTCAAACGACCAAGCGAAACAGATGAACCGTGTGGTGCAGCATTCGCTTTGGCACGACATCAAGCCGAGCCAGGATGACTGGGATGAGAAGTTACCTCTCATTGCCAGCCTGTACAACAACATTATGCACAACACTACCGGCATAACTCCCAATCAGCTGCATCTTGGTTGGAACCCCGTTCCGCTCTCGACTTTCTTTCGCCTGAAAATCAGCCAACAGCAGCACCTGGAGCATAGACTTTGCTGTCAAATATGATAAGATGCTGCAGCAGCCTGTCGAACAAATTCAGAAATCCCAAGATGCCATGGTTGCATATGAGAATAGGCACATACAACCGTCTAGCTTTCAGGTAGGGGATAGCGTTTGGGTCAAGCCCTTTGAGATGGGTTCGGAACTTGGTATATCTCGGAAGCTTATGACACAGTACTTCGGGCCATGGGAAGTTTTGGATACAGTGGGAGATGATCCAGATGGACCCTCGTATGCCATTTGAATCCCTGGGCACTTAGGCACACACCCTGTTTTCCATGCCTCCAAACTTGCGCGGTTTGCTGAGACAGACCAGTTTCCTTCAAGAAGATCCATGCTGCCCCCAACCATGGATGGACACGTCGACATCGACGACATTATCAAGCACAAAATGACGCCTGTTCTGAAGACTCCAGGTAGACTAATGACTGCATGGCCCACGCCTGGCTTTTGGGAATGCATCCCACCACAATAACACCCAAATTCAGTAAGAGTAGAACTAAATGATTGAAACAACAATCAGGCGTGGACCCGAGCATGCCCGACTGGTCCTATAGGTGAGTTCTACAATTCCCCCCCAACCTCCTGCTCCTCGTCATCACCCTCTCTCTCTCTCTCTCTCTCTCTCTCTCTCTCTCTCTCTCTCTCTCTCTCTCTCTCTCTCTCTCTCTCTCAATGCATCTGGCCATCAGTGCAGATTCATGCAAACTTTGATAATGCTGCGGTTGTGCAGTCTGTGCAATCGCGAATCAGAACAGAAGATAAAAGGCGATTACAACAAACGAAAGACAAAAGAGATCACAATGAATGGAAGACATAAGCGATCACAACAGACGGAAGACAAAAGCGATCACAATGATCCCGAACGGGGACAGACAAAGGCCAAGAACAACGATCACATTGGAAATGGGGAACACGCGGTCGCAGCAAAACTGCGAAGGGAAGCAACTACTAGATGGCTCGTTCAGCGTTTCACCCCTATACCCAAGTCCAACAAACGTTTTCACGACAACTGCAGTGCGCTTCCATCCCCTCCTCCTTTTAACTATCCTCTCCTTTCCCCCTCATCCTCTCCTCCAATGCTCAGTTCTTCTTCTTCTTTTCCGGCCCTTGTCTGCTCCTCCTTCCTCGCTCCTTTCCTATTGCTTCCATCTTCTACCAGGCCTGCCATCTTCCCTCGCTCTCCTCCTTTCTACACTCCTCTCCTTCCACCACCTTCTCCACGTTACCCTTCTTCTCCCCTCTCTTCGTCACCCTCCCTCCTACCCCTGCCTACTCTTGTTCGTCTCTCCCTGCAGCATCACCCTTCAATTCCAGTCAGGTGCGAGATTGAAAAGTATGTATCTGACCGGAATCGTGGCCAACGGGAAGAAAATAAAATAAAAACGAAAAAAAAAGAAGAAAGGGAAAGTCATACATATCATTGTAGGATCGCGGCCCAACGAACCATAGGTACGGAAGGAGAGGAGGACCACAAACGGGAGGCTGTACCAGACTGTGTCGTTGAGTTTCACCGACCCGTCAGGAGGCTGAACCCTCTCGTCTACGCTCTCTCACCTTCACACTTCAACCACCTCCACCTCCTGTCTTCGACGCCCTCTCTCTCCTCCTGCTCTCCTTCTCCACTGCTCTCTCCCGTTAACCTTCCCTCTACCACTCTCTTTCCTCTGCATGATGCCTCCTCT